CTATCTTTCACCTAGTTAACACCTGATCTACTCTTCCACCAGGGCTTAGCTCAGTCTTGATTTTTTCAGGGACGCCCCACCTGGCCTCCAAGATGAGTCAAATTCTCTGATTATACATTCTCATAACAGCATGGGTCTCTCTGCATTTGACATGTATTGCCATAATAAGGCTGCGTAACAAAACCACCCTGAAACTTAACACAACAACCATGTATGATTTCTGTTTGTCTGTAGATGACTGAGCAGTTCTGTCCATCTGGGCCAGGCTTAGCTGATCTCAGCTGGACTGGCTCTTGCATGAACAGTTCACTGCTGAGTTGGCTTGGGGGTTGGCTGGCCTATGACACTTCAGCTCATGTGGCTCTTCTGTACTCTCTGTGGTCTCTTTTCTTCAGCAGGCTTGCCTGGCCACATCCTCACGGGGTGCAGTAGCCTGCAAGGCCTCTGGAGGCCTAGAATCAGAACTGGCACAGCATAACTTTCTCTCAATCTATTGGCCAAAGCAAGTCACAGATCATCCTGTATTCAAAGGGTAGAGAAATAGCAGCCACCTCTTAATGGGAGGAATTGCAATGTCACTTAGCAAAGGGCTTAGGTACAGGAAAGGGAGGAAAGGGTGGGCAGGTAGAGCTGTTTCTGCAATCGATGTACCTCATTCCCCCTTTAAAGTACCTGTCAAGGTCATTTTCCCCTCTATGTATGTGACTTATTATCCTCCCATTATACTATAAGTCCCAGGAAAGCTGGAACCAAGTCCTGGGATATTTTTTTCTCATCACTCTATGCCCAGTATTCGTTCATTAATTTACAGATGACCTACAAGGAAATGAGCACTGTGTTTAGTATTTCTTCATTATATTATCCCAACCTTTACCTTAACCTATTGAATAAACATTGTGTTCCCTCCTTTACCTGTCAGTGCATTGAGACTCAGAAAGAAAAGACAACTCCCCTAAAGTTGTAAACTGAGATCCAGCAAGATGGTTGTTTTAGTCTGTTTTCACTCACACTGCTGATAAAGACATATCTGAGACTGGGAAGAAAAAGAGGTTTAATTGGACTTACAGTTCCAATGGCTGGGGAGGCCTCAGAATCATGGCAGGAGGTGAAAGGTACTTCTCACATGGTGGTGGCAAGAGAAAATGAGGAAGATGCCAAAGCAGAAATCCCTGATAAAACCATCAGATCTCATGAGACTTATTCACTACCATGAGAACAGTATGGAGGAAACTGCCCCCATGATTCAAATTATCTTCCATCAGGCCCCTCCCACAACACATGGGAATTATGGGAGTACAATTCAAGATGAGATTTGGGTGGGGACACAGAGCCAAGTCATATCAATGGTGTAGCAGTCATGAGCACACCGTGTACCAATATTCTGAGCTCTTCTCTGAGAACATAATAGATGTTTTTCTGGTGCCTTGAAGTTAGGAGGACCATGTAACTGGCTTTGGCCAATGAAATGTAAGCAGAAGTAATGTGTGTCACTCTCTGGTAGAACCTTTATGAGCCAGTGTGCAACTTACCCTGTAATGGCAATAGATGACATTCCAGGTGATGGTTGCTCTGTTGGCCTGAGTCCCTGAGCAACAACAAGCCCAAGGCAACACAGCCAAGCCCCCAGTTGATATTTGCTGGAATGTAATATGCATAAGATGTAAGTCCATGTTGGATTCAGCCATCAAGATATTGGAATTATTTATTACTGCAGCATAACCCAGCCTAACCTGACTGACACAAATGCCTACAGCCATCCACGGACCCCAGATCACCACCTCTGTTCCCAGTCTATGACATCAACAGAAATGCATATTCCTGAGTCTGCACAGTCCAACGAGTAAGAGAGACTCGCATGGAAGCCCCTGAGGTATTTCCTGCCCCAGCCCCATACTGATCAAGGGGATGGACAAGGGGCTGGGAGAGTTCAGATGGAGGAAAGAACAGACCCTGGGACATGGCCGTATGTGGGGCCCTTCCCCTGGGGCCTTCACACAGACCACAGCAAGGAACTTCTAATAGCAGGTTGTAGTTGGCATACTCAACTAGCCACTTGGCTTGGAAAATAAATCAACAGCTTCTGTTGCCAGAAAAGCCACAGCTGCCAAACCCCCTTTGAGGTTTGGGGGCCGCACATGCTTGATGCTTCCAGCCATTGGGAATCAACGTGCATTTCCAGAGGGAGGGTCCAAAGGAAGTCACTGGTAAAACCCAGGGCTGTGGTTGGCTGACACGAGGCCTCAGATTATCCAGCCAAAGTCCAAGTCTCTGGTCAGACCCACAGACCCATCTTCAGCATGCCTCATGCCCTCCGCTGGTCCCAGCAGCCTTGAACCTGGGCTCAGGCGGGTGAGGCAGAAAGAGGACACTGGCAGATAAAGCAAATTGCTTAGGCTCCACTTGGCTGTGCACTCCCCTCCCTAAGCCTTATTGTGATTGTTTAAGTGGGATGACATAGACCATAGAATTGGAAGCTGGCACATATTTCCTGACATCAAGACCTTACAACTCTCCCCAAGTTCCTACCATGAGCCCAGCACAGGGCACAGCTGTTTTCATGCATTGTGCCATTCTATTATTTAATGTCTGGGTGGAGATTTTTATTGTTCCCATTTCATAAACACTGAAGCTCGGAGAGGCTCACAGTGAGCATGTGGTTAGAAGTAGTAGGATAAGACCCAGCACTCCAGAGTATGGGAGCCTTACTGGCACAGGAGGCTGCAAAGGGAAGTCAATGGGCACAAGGTGGGGACAGGCCTCTGACCTCACTCTTGCCGTTGACCTTGATTTTTCTTTTTTTTTTCTCCAGCAACAAGGGTCATGCCAGCACCCAGGCCACTCACCTGGGCAGTCTCCAAATACCTTGCATTCCCAGGCAAACCAGAAGCACAGGTTCCAAGATGGTGGGACCCCAAAGCCGACACAACCAGGCCTGTTAGGGAAGAAACATGAAAATGAATCAAGCGGGGTGGGAATGGGTGTTCATGATTCCACCAAATGTCTGAGAGTGGGAACATCGCCCACGACAAGTATGTATCAACACCAACAGACACAGAGGGAGCGCTTTGGAACACCGTGCGCTCAGGCCTGGAGATGTCAGCTTCAGGGGTGGATTATAAAACGGCCCAGCAGCCTCTCCTGGGAGGCTGAGAGGACCCTGCTGAACAGCTGCTCTGAGCACGGATCTCACTCTCAGCCTGTGCTCAAGCACTTCCTCGGTCTTCCTTTTAACCAATCATTCCTACAGCCCTTCAGCTCACATAAATCCCAGTCTACAGATGAAGAAACTGAGGTTCAGGGAGGTGACAAGGCCTGGCTCACACAATAAGTGTTGAAGCCAGGACTTGGCCCATGTCAGTCTGGCTGCAAACTCACGCTCCTAACCCTGACCACCCTTGACTGTCGCCATGAGGCCTAGGCTCAGAAACAGGCGACATGCTGGTGCAGGAATCAATTCTGGTTGGGACAGGCTTGTTCAACTGGGCTCCATGGAGCCATGGCCACTGGGCCACATTTGTGCTATGAGACCTTGAGGTAGACATTCACCTTGGCAACCCTTAGTTCCAAGTTCCAGTAAAAGTAGACTTGTGGGCTCCCCCGGGAGAGTAAGAGGTGGCTGTGGTGGTGAGGTTCCCTGCAGCTGGTAGGGAATCCAGGACCTCAGATTGCTCCTCCGAGACAGGGGCAATGTTAAGCCCCCCGCCTGCATGAGCTCCTGTTTCTTGTCTTGATGATGGTGATTCTTATTCTCACCCACACATCAGCAAACCCATTCTGGGGTGTCTCCAGGAGAGTAGAGCTACCTCCTAAGGACAAAACATTTTCCAGAAATGGTTATTTGCTCTAAATCCCAGAAACTAAGGCAGGTACTGCATGACATGTGCTTGTTAAACTCACCACGTGTGATCTCCTCAACTGCCAAAGGCAATTTGAAGTGTCACACTCGCACACTCACACCCTAGGATGTCCAGCAAAATGTAGCGTGCCAGCCAGAATGCAGACTACTGGGAAGGGGAGGCATGTCCTATTCCCCTCCTTATCCCCAGGGTCTGAGAAAGGCCTGGCATAGAGTAGGTGCTCAACAAATCTAAAATGAACGAATGAATGGACTAAGAATACTAATAGACATTTGCATAAAACATTATCATTTACAAGGCACATTTCCAGCTGTTGTCTTGTTCAATCTTGATTAGAGGTAGTCGACACCATGCCACTTTGCAGATGAAGAAATGGAAATGGAAGCGCTGGGAGGGAGGAGCAGGAACTTCTTCACTCTAATGGCAAATCAAATCTCTGCTTATTGGATTCCTTTTCACCCATCGAGGCTTAGATTTCACACCAGCTCCTCTGTGAAGCCTTCCCAGTCTTCCCCGTAACTGGTATTTTCCTTCCCTGACCTCCCAGAGTTCTTTAACCAACCTCTATTATTTTTTTTCACACTCTGGCTGCTATTAGGATTGGTCAAGGACATGCCCATCTCTTCCTTAATGGCAGTGTCTTGTACTTCTCATGTCCCCACACACAGTAGGTCCTCAACCAAGGCGTGCCAACTTAAAGATGTCCTTGACAAGCTGCTTGTGGCTGACATGTCAGAGCTGGAAAGGGCATTAAAGATCAGCTATCATCTTTTCATTTAACAGAGCCTTGCCCGTGTTACGCAGAGAGTTGACCTGTCTCCCAACTTCTAACTCAAGGCCCTTCCCAATGAGCGGACTCTAACTAACACCGAGACTGACTCTCCCATGCCAGCTCCAATGGACTGGTGATGGTTTCTCCTGGCTCAAGTGAAAAGAGTGCCCATATCAATTAGTAATGTCTGCCACTGCTACAGAAGAGGTATGTGATAGAGGACTGTCAGCTGACCCCAGCTCTAGGTCATGCAATAGATAGCAATTAGAATTAATGTTTATTGATGGATTCTGCAACTAGGATGGAATGCGAAAGTGACTCACTCCATATCCTATTGTTAAATTTCTCTTACCCAGTCATCTCTCCTTCTCCACCTTTGTCTCTCCAGTTAGGTTGGGTGTTCCTCCATGGCCAGGGATGGGTCTGGTTCATTTCTGGACTCCCACTGCCTACACACAACACAAAGTCCTCGGTGAGTGTTTATGGGGAGAAAATGAATGTAATTAAACTTGGTTCAACAACGATAGGTCCATAAGGTGAATGGGTGGACATGCAAATGGACAATAGAATCTCAGCTGACATCCCCCAAATGTCTGCATCAGCCTCACTGCATCAGCCTCGCTGAGAAGTGAAGAGGACAGAGCCTGGCCCCTTGGAGTTCCTGGATGTGGGACTCTCACCAGCCACTTTATGCATAAGCTCACATTTCAGGGGTGTAGAAAAAGCGCTCCCATCTTTCCAGCTGCGGGTTGGCACATCAGCAAAATATCCACAAAATATAGGTTTGGGGAAATCATTTTATAAAATGGAATAAACCATTATCCAAAAGAAAATTGCCCAATCATTAAAGGGATTTTTTTTAACCATTCAAATACCCATGGCCTTTATTCCCAATCGTCCTGTTCCTGCTGTGTTACAGAGGGAGGAAAATGTAGATTTATTTGTATCTTCCAATATGCCTATTCTCTGTATGAGGCATCCATGCCAACTATGTGTGAAGAGATATAAATATTCCAATTCAGTTACAAAAGCATGTAGATTTGGAATTCTGAACCTCTTGATTTCAACTGTTTACAAAATCTTTCCCCATGCAGTGATTTGTTCAAGGTATTTAATAAGCAGACAAGTCTATAAAAAGACAGAAGGCATATTGTTTTTCATTAAAGATGACCCTGCAATCTCAATCCCTTTGAAATATATTCTTTTTCTCCCTTTCCTGGAAGATTGGAAACCTTTAGGTTTTATAAGCAAGAAAGGGAAAAATGAAGTGCATAAATTATAAACAAACAACTCCACACAAAATGAAACATTTTTAATGAAGTCTAAGTCAACAGTTCTAGAAGGTACTAAACACACCTTTCGCAGCCCCATTCATTCATGTATCTGAGAACCACAGAAAGAGCGTAGTGTCTCCTCCTGGAATACAGACCCTCGTGTTAGTTGGAAGGGATGCTTGTGAGGATCAGAACTGGATGCTGTGGAGATCCCAGCCCAGGCACTGGGTTCAAGCCTCCTTTGGGGAGGTTCATGCTCTTGTGTTCCCTCCTGGCGTCTTCCATCAGGTATTCATTCCTTATTCTATATCATATGCAAAGCACCTAGTTGGTGCAAGGCAATGGGCTGGGCTGTGGGGACCCAGAAATAGATGCGATCAGTTCTTGCTCTGGAGATTCTGAGAGCCAAGAGCAGATGCCTCCAACTGCACTGAGTAGAATGCAAGCACCCAGTGGCATATTGGAGTCACCTGTGGGAGCTTTGGGGATCCGGGGCCCTGGGAAACACACACACACAGTCTTCTTTCTCAGAGGCCTTCAAAGATTCTTTGGTATGCTTGATAGTGATTTTTTTAAATTTCTTTTTCATAGATTCAGTGCCTGCCATGTGGTAGGCGTGGTGTTGGGTGTGCCTCGGCTATTTGCTCACAGAGTCAGGGGACTAAGGCTCAAAGACATGAGTGAACTCCCCAAGACACAGAACACCTACATGGCTGACCAGGCTCCAACCCAGCGCTTCAGGCTCCAAACCCAGCAACGGTCTCTTTCCCGTACCACAGAATGCATGAGAGGATGAATCTTGAGGATCTTTAAATGCCTGCTGACTTCCAGGCTTCAGATGAATAATCACATGTGCAGAGTGTGTGTCGGAGAGGATGCAGGAACTGCCTAAGGGATCCAATCACTTTACTTGCAAGATAGGAACCTGGGGTCCAGAGAGGGGAACTGACCTGCCCAGGGCACACAGCACAGAGCTACTCCTGGAATCCAGGTCTTCTGTCTCCCAGGACACCACACACAGCTCCTCGCCACCTGCCTGTCCTCCCTTCCCATGCCTTCCCCATCCTCCACATGACACGTGGATACCAAGTCAAAAACCATCCTAATGAAGTTGCTGTAAATATTTTCCACTCGGTTTGCAGGTTAGCAAGATTCCTTTTCTGCCTCGCGGCTTTAGACAATTTACGCTTCCATTCTCAAAACAGATTTTTATCCTAATAAAGGCGTTTATTACTATTATTCACCTGTCATTACACAGCATTAGACAATTACATAGCACAGACTGACTCTCCCACCACGAACCTTCCCCTCCGCTCTCAGTGGGGGAAGGGGGTGCACACAAACAGAACATTTCATTAAAAAATAGAGAGGAATCTTTAATTTTTAAGCGCTGCCAGGCCTGCTACCTACGCTTTTTAAAACTTTGTTGTGAAAAGTCACTGGCGTGAGCGAGAGGGAGATAATAAAGAAGTGTGGGCTAGAAACCGTCTCCAGCCCCATTTTGATTGCCAGACGATTGACAAAATAATTTGTACCCGTCGATGCTCATGAAGGGAATTTTTACAATGGATTTGCCAAGCAGATTTTTAATTTTAATCAGTAATGAAAAAATGACAACATGGATCACAACAAGACATCAGTTGCTGAACGGGCTTTGCAGTCCCTGTCAGGCAGCCTCTGTCAGGAAGCCGCACCTCCGTTGAGCATCAATCACTCGTTTCAAACTCCTGTACATCTTCAGGATTTAATTAGACATTTAAGTTCTTTATCCGCAATTTGCAAAACTGTCACTTACCAAAAGTGCAAGATGCTAAAAAATATTCCGCTTGAGTCCTGAGGGACTGTTTATCTCCTTCCTGGGAGAGGATTAGAAGTTAATATTTGGACACACACACCCCAACCAAAAAAATTATATATTTTATATACACACACACACACACACACACACACATATACATTCTCACTCAGCTACTATGCCTGACCTACAGCTACAGATATTTTCAAAGAGCAAAAAGTAAAAGATCATTGATTGTGCTGAAAACCAACACCAATCTCTGCTGTGGACGGACAAGAGGAAGAGAGTGCGTGAGACAGAGGTTTATTCTTTTTGTCAAGAACTTAATTCTAAGACCGTCTTGATCTTGCCGACTTGCTGTGGTCTGGAAAGCAGAACTTTAGAGAAATGTTCACCCATATGACCTGGAGCCAACTGGCTTTGCCTCTCCTAGCCTTTATTTCCTATAAACCTAGAAAATAAGTAAATAAGTAACCATCTCTTATTAACGAATTGCAACAATGCATACAAAGTGCCTGTAGAGTACTTCAATACAGGTTGACACCGTAAGAGGTACTGCCTCTCCATCAGCAAGCTGCAGAGAATCAAGACACGTCCCAACCATCTGAAGACGGAGGTGGATGGACACTGGGAATACCACAGGGACGTGAGATCGAGGGACAGGTCAGCATCTCAACCCACGGTGGCAGGAACCAGGCCTGCTGCCAGCCAACCCTGCTAGCCAGCCCTGTGGCCACCTGTCCCAGAATCGCTGGCCAGCAGCTGTGACCAAAGGCCACCATGATATATAGTGCATTTTCCTGTCTGGGGCTTTCACCTTCCACCTTCAAAAGCCCCTGAAGCTGTGTTTGCTTTGAAATCTTTGGGGCGTGGGGCTTGGGGCTTTTTGTTCTGTTTGGTTTTCTGGTCAAGATTGAAGGGACATATTCTTGGTTTAATTTTTCAGGGATGAGAGAGTGGGTTGGAGGATGAATCTTCCAAGGTTTGCCTGGACTCTTGGCTCAGTTACGTCGCTCCCAAAGCAGAGCAGGAAATAAATAAGGTCTTCTCCTTTAAGAGAACCTTGGCTTACTAAGGCACACTATTGAAATGAGTATAAAAGGTGGATTGTGAAAAAGTCATTACTCACAGATAAGAAATGCACCCCAGGCGAAGCTGAGCACAGACTTATTTTCTAGCTGAAGTTTCTTTCAATTGATCTTCACTCTCCACCCCTAAAATGGTGGGATGGGTATGAAGGGGCTTAGAAAGCTTGTTTTCACCTTTCATGCAAGTCTCCGGGATGGTGAATGGCCGAACTGCAAGCCTTAAGCCAATTTACTAGTCAACATGGACAACATGGACTTTGCAAATTCACCCCTACCAGGATGCCCTGTTCTCACCGGGGGAGTCCCTACTGCTCTGCTGCAGGAGACAGACAAACGCTGTCTTCTTATCCCACTAGCCTTTCTTCATCTTTGCATCCAAATAACCTCCAGGCCTTTCCCAGAAGGACGTAGCCTGTCCTGTCTGTACTGCAGACTCACGGAGCCCAAAATTCCATGATGCAAGAGTCAGCAGGAACTGAGGCTTGGCAAGTCTGGGGCTGGGGCTCTGAGGCCAGGGTTTGGGCGCTAAGCCACTGTGTGACACTAGCAAGCCATCGCCGCTCTCCAAGGCTCAGCTCCCCAGCCTGAAAACCAAAGGAGCTGGCTGCGATGACCACTAAAACGCCTTCCACCCATTCTGTGAAACCACGACCTTGGGTGAAAAAATGTTAATGTAGAGAAAAGCAAAATGAAGTAAACACAGGTTTTAGAATCAGCAGACCTAGGTTCAAATCCCAACCCTGCCACAAGTTTCTGCATGTGTGTGTGTGTGTGTGCGTGTATTTGTATATCAACCCTTCTGCACCCACTGCAACCATAGGGTCACCTCCTCCAAGAAGCCCTCCCTGATGCCTCTTTCCCTAGGCTGGGGGATAAAGGAGGCAGGGCCTCTAGGGAGTGCTTGACCCACAAGTCCCTGCCCCCACCTCATTGTCCTGCCAAGGCTCCATCCTGGGCAAGCCTAGTTCCAGTCTGGGGGCACTTTTCACTTCACATTTCTGGGTGAGCCTTTCCTGGCTCTATGGCCTCTATCACTTTCGCCTCTATCCACCTACACCTGTGACTCCCTTTAGAGGACAGGCCTGGGCTACCTAAGCTACACTAGCTGCATTCAGAGGGCCCAAGTGCCCCAAGTTTAACAGCCCTGGTGAGGCCCTGGGGCCATCAGCTCCTTGCCTAAACTCAGGACAAGCTCTGAGGCACAATTTACAATTTAAGCCCCCAGAGCTCCCCCAGGAGATCAGGCTAAGACAGGAAGTGTCCCTGAAATCTCACCCTCTATGGCTGAGTCC